GCTCGCCTTGAGCTGAAGAGCTGAGGGACAGCGCCCAGGCCCAGAGTTCAAGCCCCACGACCGACAAAAAAAAAAAAGAAAATATTTACTATTAGAGAAACCAATGTAGACCAGTGTCACAAATCTTGGGTAAGAAATTACTACAAATTATTCCTTATAATAATGTCCGTGTTGTTCATTGCATACATACTTATCAAATACTGGCATGTAGGAATTCAGTAGGAGCACTGGAGATGAAAAGATGAAATATAATCTTTCTGCCCACAATCTCAGAGGGGCAGAGAAGTAAATAAAATAGAAAAAATAAGGTACTATGGGAGTTTCATGTAAAGGAATATTACTTCAGCTTTCTTCGAAGCTTGAAGATAAAGGAAAAGAACGTATCAATAAAAAAAAGTGGAGCTCAAAGGTGACTTTGGTTTGGAATGTTTTCCCATGTACTATGATCAATAAGATAGGTATATAAATGAGTGTGAAACAAATGGACAGCCATAATATGATCAACACCTCTAAGATTTTAGATTATTTAACATCACATCATTACCTGAAGAAAACTATGAGCTAGCTGTATTGACTCAGCTACTTCCATAACATGCCTTAATATAATCAGATACTATAGTAGCTAAAATATTTTTTCTATTTTTAAGAAACACAAATATCTTATATGCAATGGAACATTGACTTCTACTGAATAACATAAACTGAAAATGTGTATCAGCCATGTCACATGTGAAATTAGCGAATATTTCCTCATATTTTTTTATATAATGTGCACTGGTTTAGAATCCTGTCTATTGGAGAACATTGGGCAGAAGTTATGTATAATACAGCAAGCCACTGTACTGATCTTAGTATAATCTATGCAAATCAACAGGATGGCCTGATGATTCCTTAACATGAATCATAGTCAGTCATAATCTCACAGTGAGGGTCCAAAGCAAATAAATGGGTATAATATGAGATAGCCTATAAGAATTCTAATAATGGTCCACAAAATCACCCACAAATACTGTTTACACAAGTTATTTTTATAGTTTATCAAAGGATATTCCATTTCAGCTCGAATATCATTGAGACGGTGTGATAGTTCAGTTATGTCATCTTCTTTATTCTCATCAAACACTCTTAACTGAATATCAAGCTCATCATTTTCTTTTTCTTTGAGATCCTAATATATAAGTAGAAAATTTAGCAAAGGAGTAACAGTTTAACAACAGCATATTTTGATAATAAGGAACAGAAAACAATTATTAATTTATACCCACAGCAACAATTTCAAATATTAACCTAGGCATTTGGATGTAGCTAAATTTTGTTACTTCAAAATAAAAGAACCTCATTGTTTCCACTTTATTGCCCCAGATAGATTATTCACATTAAAAAAATAACAATCACTTCTATAACAAGAAAACGAAACACTAATTGCTAAAGGCCCAAATTAAATGTTTCTGTTTTGACTTAACATACCAATGAAAGATTGCTAAAGAATTCATGCAGTTAGAACATTCATGTATGCCTCTATCCAAAAAAATAAATAGAAGACACATAGGAATCAATTATATTAATGAAGAACAAATGCAAGGATATATTCGAGCAAAGCAGTCCCAAGTATGGCATAAAAGAGATTGTACAAATTTATATTAAATATTTTGTGATTTTTAAACCAAAAAAATGCAAGGAAATGGTATCTAGCTCTATTTTATGCCAATTTTTTTTGTCTTGGCGTAATGACAGAATAGCAACTTGAGGCATTCAATTTTTATTTTTGTATTACATTATTAGCACATACATTACAAATTTCTGATAATTTTCAAAAGTAATAGCAGAAAATAATTGTAAACATGCCACACTAGAGGACCTCTATGTCCATTATGCTGCAGTTTTCATAATAAAAATGAATAAACACAACTGTGGTTGCTTAAGGGTGATAGCAAAAGAGGTACTAAGATGTTCAGAGTTGAATTCTAAGAGGGTATGTAAGCATGATGTACTTCATATTAGGTAAATAAAAAAAAATGGAATGCAATTATAGAGATGTAAAAGCTATTACTAATGCCAAACACATATCTAAGGAATTTCTCCATCTTCCTTCTCTAGTATTCACGAGCAAATTTGTTTGCTAAAAGCTTATAAAACACATAAAAATACCTTTTAATAATTTCTATATAGTCTCATCAAAATAAATAATGAACATATTGGTATCCTCAAGAAGAACTTGATTTGGTTTTAATTGTCCCATTTGAAGTGAGATGAAGATATTTATTGAAATGCACAATTATCTAATATAAGTGGATCATATTAGGTGATTTCTGAACTATATTCAGAAAATCACAGAGGCCAGACAAAACAAATATGCTGAATTTTACAAAAATGTATCTTAGATTCTAAAGACTTTTCTGTATTCTCATGTCATAACATAGTCTCTGAGATAGTCATGAAATCTAAACATATTCAAATGTTTGCAAAGTTAATAAATTTATTTTAAACAGTTCCAAAGAAATTTATGTTAAACAGTTCCATTTACTCAGCATTGGAACTTAACACAAAAATGGAAATCAGTGAAAACAACTGTTAAATGTATAATTTATACAGTATGTTATAAAAAGATACACATGTATTAATAATATAAAATATATTAAATGTTCTTTATTAATAATGCTCTAGACCTTATAAAATATGTAAATAAGCATACAGACATACATATATTTAGCTGAATTTATTAAATTCCCATTACTCAAATGTCAGATACAGCCATAAATTCTTGATAAAAATAAAGATTTAATGAAATGTTTTTTAAAAATTATGTGGTACAATTAATATGATAAATATCCAATATCGTACCATGTAAAATACTTTAAATAAGTTTCAGTTATTTATTAACTAGAGTTATTATACACAGTCATCAAACTTTTTCTGCATAATCCTGGAAACACTTTAGTTACTTTCTAAATAGTTCACTTCAATGAAATGAAAGCCTATTATCAGTATATTACTGATTACCAGCCAAGCAATTAAAATTGAATTTTCAATAGATAAAAGTTTATCAGTCTTTTCTTTTCTTTTTCCTTTTTTTTCTTTAATTTTTGTGCCTCCTGGGGCTTGTACTCAGAGCCTGGTTACTGTTCTGGAGCTTCTCTTTGTTCAAGGCTATTACTCTACAACTTAAGCCACAAATCTACTCTCAGCTTTGTTTTTTTTTGTTGCTGTTGTTGTTTTTGTTTTGTTTTGTTTTGTTTTTTGGGGGGTGGTGCTTATTTGGCATATGAGTCTCATTGACTTTCCTGACCTACTGGGTTTTGAATTGTGAACCTCAAACCTTAGTCTTCTAAGTAGCCAAGATTATAGGTGTGAGTCACTGGCAACTGGCCTGTCAATCTTTAATAAAAAACAAAACTGCCCTTTGCTATATACACCATTTCTTACTACATTATATTAACTAAATACTTAATTTGATAGTTAATTAGCTCTTAACTTTTGTGTGTGTGTCAATATGGGGAGTTGAATCCAGGCATTTGTGCTCTCACTTGGATCCTTCACTCAAGGCTGGCCCTGTACCACTTTTAGATAGGAAGCTAATGAGATAGTAGGCGATATATAGGATACCTTGGTTCTACTCTAAAACTTAAGGAGCTTAAATAGGATGCTTGCTACCTTGCTAAGGATCACTGGGACCTGAGAAGTAGAAATGTTGAAATAATGTGATAGTTAATGAAAAGTATAATTGGAAGTAACAATGAAGAATACATATGGCAAAAAGCACATAGTGTGACAAGAAGTTTTATGTAGAACAAATGGCCAAGGGGAAATTAAAACACAGATGCACTATTGTAAAATCTTAGCTGTTAGTATAACCAAATGGATAAAATGAGATCCCTGAGCACAGCAAACATTAATACATTACCACAAAAGTGCAAAGGTAAGGATAAGCGCTATAATGTTGTATCTGTTTTGAAAAGAAAAGAACTAAAATAAATTAAAATGAGAATACTTTTTTGCTACTCATTCAGCATTACAGGTCTGAATGTTCACTTATCACCTGACAGGGAAATGAAAGGCAAAAGAGTAATAGCCACAACTAAGGCAAAATACACGGGTGTAGAGAAGGAGTCCCTGCAGCCAGCAAACACCCAAAGATATTACTGTCCCCAAAGCAAAACCAGCACAGTAGGCACAAAAAAACAATGAGAAGGCAAGTAAAAATCAAACTATAATCAAGATCATAAGATTATCTCTAGCTATCTAAGGTCATAGACTTTACAGGAGAGGATAGTGATTATTTTAAAAAAGAATATATTACATATGCTATAATTGACACATTCACTTATATTTCACTGTGTTAACTGTACACAGAATATCTATAATAATTACATAAACTGTTGCTTTGATTCACTCCAACCAATGAAGATGATAAAGTCAAGGATTCAAAAAGTAGTAAAGATGGCTATCACAGAAATATCTCAAACCAGGATGGCTCAATCTTATATACTTTGTTATAAACCTTTTTTGAGTGTACCAAATCATTCAACTTATAATGAAGAGTTTCATTTAAGAGTGTCCAATTAAAGCCTGGTGCTGGGGCTGGGAAAGTGGCTCAGTGGTAGAGCGCTTGCCTTGCATGCTCAAAGCCCTGGGTTCGATTCCTCAGCACCACATAAGCAAAAAGAAAAAAGCCGGAAGTGGCACTGTGGCTCAAGTTGTAGAGTGCTAGCCTTGAGCTGAAGAGCTGAGGGACAGCGCCCATGCCCAGAGTTCAGGTCCCACGACCGGACCCAAAAATAAAAAATAAAAAAATAAAGTCTGGTGCTGGTGGCTCAGGCCTGTAATCCTAAACACTCAGGAAGTTAAGGTCTGAGGATCGCCATTCCAAGCCAGCTAGGGCAGGAAGGTCTGTGAGAGTCTTTTCTCCAATAAACAACCAAAAAGCTGGAAGTGGGTCTATAGGTCAGGAGGTAGACTGCTCGAATTAAACAAAAAAGCACTGAGTTCAAGAATAAAAAGACTATCAGAAACAGATATATAATACACATAAACTCTTTACCAGCAAACTTCCCTATTTTGATATATCTAATGTTTTTGTTCTTGTTTTCCTTTGCCCTTTATTTTCCCTTCCTTATTTTTAACACAGTGAACAGTTTAATAATAATATTTCACTTGTCTCTTTAATAATGTTATGATTTTAAAGAAAGTGATTCTTCAGTTAATGTATTTAATAAATAAAAAATAGAACCACAGTTCTATTTACAGAAAAGGGGTACCCACTTAGACAGAGACCATAAATTATTCTAAAAATATTTTAGCACTATAATAATTAGAAAAAATATCACATTAAATTTAAGTTTGAAAATAATACTACTTCTCATTAGAAAAGTTCCTAAAACACTACACTGAGAGAACTACTCTTTTTTTTTTAATATTTGTGAACATACTGTACAGAGGGGTTACAATTACATGGGCAAGATAAGCAATGTGGCTAGAACATATTAATCAAAATGCTATGCATGCCTATGTGGAAAATAAATGGAATGAATCTAAGTTATCAAAATGGAAAGCAAAACATTTTAATACAAATATTGAAACCAAAAAAGACTAGTCTTTTATGTTTTCCAATATGCAAAAATTAAAAGATAATAACTTCTCTTTTGACTTACAACATAAAATCCCACATGACTTTGGGGTACATTATTAGCTGTATTCTGAATCATCACTATTAATCATCACGGTCATTGCAGTAAAAATATTGCAATATTTTAAAGTTAGAAAATGCCAGGTACTGAAGCCTCATGTTTGTAGTCCTAGTTAATCAGGAGGCTGAGATCTGAGGATAATAATTTTTATCGGCTGGGGCAAGAATAGCCCATGACACTTTTGTCTCTATCCATGGAAAAGCCAAAAGTACAGATGTGGCACAAATGGTACAGGGCCAGCCTTAAGGCAAGAAAAAGTTCAGGGACAATGCATAGGCACTAAGTTCAAGCCCCAGGTCCAGGAGGAAAAGATGAAAACAAAGATGAAAAAGACAAAGAGGACAAAGGAAGATTGGGAAGGAGGATGAAGAAGGAGGAAGGACTGGGGAGGGGTAAGGGGGAGGAAATGGGAAGGGGAGGGAGAGGGGACGTGGGGAGGAGGAGAAGACAGGAGGAGAGGGAAGGAGGAGGAGAAGGAAGGAAGGAAGGAGGGAAGGAAAGAAAGAAGGAAGGAAGGAAGGAAAGAAGGAAGGAAGGAAGGAAGGAAGGAAGGAAGGAAGGAAGGAAGGAAGGAAGGAAGGAAG